CCACAGGGCACAGAGGGCCACCAAGGGGACACGGGTCTCGCTCATCACCATGAGGAGATTGTGCGTCATGAAAGGTCACTCCCACATTTCAGAGTTTTCAGCCTTTTCTACTCCAACTCCTGGAAGTCTTGGTAGAAACAGTTTCCTTCCCGCCCATTTGCTGTACAGGAAGGCGAGAGTGATGGGGGCTCCCAGAGGCCTCTCCTTGGGCCCAGAGAGAGGCCCCAGGGCCTCTGGTGCTCCCACTTGGGTTGGCCAGTAGCTTTGGGACCCTCAGCCTTTGATCTCCAACCTGGAGGATGCTGTTGATCATTAGAAAAACTAGACACCCCTTCTTGCTTGACTCAAGTGAGACACCCTTGAGCTGGGGTGAGTCCGGGTTTTGTGAGAAGTGATCAGAAGGAAGAGGCGGGGTCCACAGGGAATGTGGCCTGAACACTAAAATCTCTGACTCTGCCTTCAGGATGCATACTCATGCCCCCATCCCTCCTAAGTGGAGGCTTGTAATTCCCAGAAATCACCTGGCAGTCCTGCCTCTGGAGAGTCCCTCCTAACTGCACTCCCACTCACAGCCCTGCTTTTCTGCCTGGCCAGCTCCTATTCGTCCTGCATGACCCTACATTGCCTCCTCTGGGAAGTCTGCCAGCCTATCCTAGCACACTTTCCTTCTCTCTCCCTTCAGCATTCTCATGCTACAGCTATCTGTGATCAGCCCTCTTCCTTGTGAGCTTCCTAAGGTCAGGTAATGGGTTTCATTCATCTTTGCATTCCTGGTTCTTGGCATCATGCTTGGCATCAAGTCGGCATCAGTGAATGTCTGAGGAATGAATGGAGGAGCTGAGCCAGCACTACCCACAGAAAGAGGAATGAGGGCAGAGCTAGAGGCCAACACCCCCTCACCCTGCCAGCAGGCTCATCCTGGTTGGTGACAAGGTCCAAGGCTCTGCTTCATCTCTAAAGCATCTCAGCTAAAGCAGGAGCAATACATCATTGCTCCCTGTCCATCCCCTCCTTTTCTCCAGCAGAAGGGTTTCCTCCCTGCATCCCTGAGAGTATGCCCAGAGGCAGGGCAGGAGGGAGAGGAAGGGAACAGTGGGGCCAGCTGGAATACAGGGTACAGAGAGGAGCCAGGGAACCTGAGGGATCAAATGCATGGAGTGATGAGGACAGCCATATTCTTAGGAAAGGAGACTGGCTAAAGGTGGCCATTGGGCCCTAAGGACTGGCTTCCTTGGAAGACTGGAGCGGGGAAGGGGATGTGGCTCAGGTCTTCTCAAGTTGATCCTCTTCCCTAAGCTTCTTTGATTCCTGAACCCTAGAACGTGGCAGTTCCTTTTTTGCCTCGTGCAACATTACAGCATGGGCCAAAGCAAAGTGCCCACTTTCCAGATGGGAATATTGAGCCACTGGGGAGCCAAGTGTCTCACTCCACCGGACACTGGGTGTATAGGCCAGAGGGCACATGCCCTCTGCTGCCACAGGCAGATGGTGCCCCCAGCTTGGGGAATCCGACAGTTGTGCTGCAAAGTACATGTACAGATTGCCCTGCACCCCTTCCTCCTCACAAGGTTACAGAGTAGTTAAATAAGAGTGATGCCATCAATGGCAACCAAAGGGCCAATGACAGAGGCGAGTACCCCTAGTGGTAATGAACCACAGGGCCATGATCTCCTCCCCAGTGCAGTGCTTCTGATGGCCTGTCCTTTGAGGCCTTGACCACCCTGTCTCAACCTTCAGGATCATCTTGGGCCCCTCCCCAAGGCCTCTCCAGTCATGTTCCATGTCCATGAGTGTCTCTGATGCCTTCCTCTCTGTGCCAGCCCACAGCCAGTATCCCCACCCACATGCTGGCTGCAGCACACTCAGATCACAGTGAATGTCTCTTACTGGGTCCCTCCCACTTCCACTCTTCACACCAAGGTCCCACTTCCTGAAATCTAGGTCTAATCATGCAGCTCCCTTGCTCACAACATTTAGTGGTTCCCTATTGACAGAAAACCATCAAATACACTCCAGATCTCTTAGCTTGGCATTCAAGGCCTCCTGTGCTCAGGTCCCAACTCTTAGTCTCAACTCCCTCTGCCTCTCTGTGTTGCCCCTTATGCTCACTGTTCCATAATCACTCTAAAGCTTCAGGACTGTTTCCCCTCCCCAGAAAGCCCTCTGTGTCCTTCTCTACCTGCTAAAATCTCATCCATCTTTCCAGGCCCTGCCCAAGTGGAAGCTCTCTGGTCCCTACAGCTGGTTGTGCTATCTTCCTCCTTCTAGCACTCCCAGGATTCCCAGGATGTGAACCCCTGGAAGATATAGTTGTCTCATCTTCTCTTCCAGCCCTACACAGTGCTGGGCATATCAGAGGAAGAAGAGATGTGGAGTGATTTGATCAATATTTATTGGGTACTTACTATGTGCCCAGTCCTGGCTAGGCATCCAGGACACAATGGTGAGCAAGGCAGGTGGGTCTGCGCTATGGAGTGTAGCCAGCCCATGCTCTAGAAGGTGCTGAGGGTATCTCCATTCATCCTCCCACCCCCACCGCAGAATATCTAGGGGCTGCCTTGCTGGTTGCCTAGTGGCGTGTGTTCAGGGAATGCAGATCCAGGTGTAAAAATGGCCTATGCTGAATGATCTTCAACAGCTCAAGTAAAACTAGCACTTTGCAGCTTTGTCCTCCACCAGTCTAGGCCTGCATATCTTTAGGATGCATCAGAGGTCACTCCCATTCACCTGTTCGGGGACCACTCCCTTCTTGCAGGACTCAACCCCCTCCTGGCTGCTCTCAGGACAAGGTCACCAGGTGTTGTAGGGACTGGGAGGACAGGGGGCCCTGCTAACCCTCAGGAGTGGTCAGCTCTGGCTGTGATGGAGGAGCAGGTAGACCCCTGCTTCATTCTCTCCCCACCTGTCCTCTGACACAGGAAGGAGGGGGAGGAGAAGGAGTGGGAGAAGGAGGAAAGGTCCCAGGTTAGACATTCCATCCCTGGTTCCCATGGATTCCCAGTCTCAGCATGTAGATTGCTACCAACCAATGATGATATCCACACATTTACCAACCACACAGCGCAAGCCTGACCAATCACGACAGACACTGGCTGAAGGGCAGGAGCAGGGTCCTGGGGAGCCCCACGCAGGCGCCAGGCACTGCCTTTTTCATGACTGGATTGTGAGGAGAGCCAGGAATCCCAGGGAGGGGCCAGAGCTGCTGGGGCAGCAGGGTGGGCTACTCAGGAAGTCTGGACAGTGGTCATTTACTTACAGGAAAAAAGGTATTTTTTAATACTAAACTTAAATATTTTGACAGCTTGTATGACTGCATCAGTGCATTCCAGCCTTCCAGCCCTACTACCAACCACAGTGCCCATACAATCATATCGAATCCAACTTAAAGTCACATATTTTATTGATGTTCTTCATCGACAGTACAGGGTGATGTGTACAAATGCGACTGACGTCCCACACCTGGCAACCTCACCACCATCACCCCTCACTGGGCAATGTGCTAGGAGCAGACACCTGAAGGTCCCCCCATTGTTCCCACCCCCTATATCAAGCCTCACAGTGCTTAGCCTCCAGGAGGCTGGGGTTGGCTTGCTGGCTTCCAAGCTTGAGCTTTGAGGTCAGGAGAGAGTCAAGACCTGGATCACCCAGGAGTCCTACCCTCCCCTTCTGATCCCACTGCTTAAGTATGGCCAGAACTGGGGGTGGGACACCTCCTAATGACTGCTCCATCCAAGCAGCCTGAGCTGCCCTTCAGCCTTCTCTGCCACATCCTTCCCCTCCAGGTGATGTACCCTGCTGCCCACCAACATGGCAGAGTGGCCATTTTATTTAGAGGGTGGGAGTCTGTGCATGGGAACAGTGACAAGTACCCCTATAGCAGGGACCTCACCATCTTGTTTACCTACGAGTGCTGGTGCCTGGAAGAGACTGGGCACATAGTTGGTGCTCATTAAATATATATAAGATTCATGAATAAATGAATATGGAAAGAAGTATGAGCAGGGTGCCATTACTACATCAGCCTCTAGGGGGCATGAAGGCGGGACCAAGGTGCAGTCTTCCCAGGCTCTGCTCCAGAGCTCAGGGTGTTATGGGGCAGTGGTGGGGGGTCACTGTGGCCACCACTTAGACACTGTAGGGTGTGGGCTTCAGGCCTGATAGGTGGCAGACAGGCCTTAGGACCCTGTCAAAAGAGGGCATTTGTCTCCAACTCCCTCATATGTCCCAGGGGTCTAATCCTCTGGATCCCACAACTGAGAGCAGTTCCCCACTTCCAGTCAGATAAGCAGGTCTATATTCTAGTCTTCCCCATTCCTGAGCCTCAGCTCTCCCAATATCACCCCTCAGAGTTGAGCATAACCTTCCTGCTTTGCTCACCCCACCACTGCCCCCACCTGCCCCTGAAACTGCTCCATCTCCCTGTCTTCAAATGCCACTCCCCTCAACTAGCATTAACACCCAGGTTGTCCTGCCTCTCCCAAGACTTTCTTCTCAGTGGCTGGGTAGGGTCCTGAAAGTTTACATCATGATTTTCAGACCGCTCCATACCTGCCCCAACCTCCAGGAAAGCAAACAGCTCACAGCCATCTGCAGATCTTGTTTCTGGACCTGCGCAATCACAAAAGGACACTAGAGTCTTGGGGTGGAGAGTGATCTTCCCTTCTCTGACCCTGTGCAGAAATTCTTTCCAGGGCATGCCTTCCAGATGACTACCTAGGTCTTACTGGGAAACCTCCAGTGATGGGGCACTCACTACCTCCCCAGGTAGTCACTCAAACACTGAACGGCTTTAGCAGCTAGAATATCCATCAGAAAGAAACCCATTGCCCCTTTCATCCTCTTTCCTCAAAGATCACAGAGACTAACCTCTGTGACCCCCTCTGTTCCCCTCCCATGGGTATCCTTTCTCTATTTGTATAACAACATTCCTCTCAGCACCTCTCCCTTTCCCCTCCCTCTTCCTTCCTTATCTCTCCCTCTCCCTCCCTCCCCCCCTCAAGTGTATACATACACACACACACACACACACACACACACACGTGTCGCCTTCCATAAGGCTGTGCACTCACATGCCTCTCTCATTGATCAGTATTCCCCCTTTCCTTCCTTCTTCCTTGCTTTCCCAGCATCTAGCAAAGACCTGGAAGCTGGAGACCCAGGGAAAAGGCTAGAACAGTGCTAGGAAATGAAGTATCCAGTCAGGTCCTGGACTGGGCTGGGGTGGCTGGCTGGGATGGAGTGGACAGGGGACAGCAACTGGAAATCCCTGGCCATTAGTTGCTGTCTCCCAGAGAAAGGGATTTCCGACTTGTGGGGAAGGTGTTGACTACTGAGTTCTTTTCCCCTTCAACTGCCCACAGTTCCAGAGGGGATGAGGGCCCACACCCCTCTATTCCCCAGCAGTTGGTGAAGCTGACTTGGCTGCTTCTCACACTTGGTAATTTAAGCACTTTTGCCAGCCTCCAGGTCCTGGAGAGCATCATTCGGCTGCAGGAATCCACTCCCCACTCCTAACATGGGCTGAGAGGAGGCACTCTAACAGATAGTAGGGACCAGATGGGACATGATCAAGAGTGGATGAGCCAAGGAAAAGGGGAAAGAAGGGACCCCAAGTGGAAGAAGCAAAAGCAGAGACCTCCTAACAGTTGGCTGGCTACTATGGAGCCTAGGAATGCCTGGGTGGCCATTTTTTCTTCTTGTCATGATCCATCAGCCAAAGCTGTTTTCTGTATGTCAGAAATAAAGGGTGCACACTAGGACCTTACCAGCCAGAGGTTATAGTGGGTCAGTGGTGGAAACAAGGGACCATGGTCTTATGTTCACAAGGAGTCAAGACACGCACACAGAAAAATGACAGGAGTGTCTGCTACTTGTCCCACTGCTTGGAGCTCTCACCTCCAACATTGAACATGGGCACCAGCAGGCCCAGCAGCCACCTCTTCCCGAAGACCTCCTGTAAATTTTTACGCCAGGGCCGAGCCCTCACTGCTACCCCCTTGCGCAGCTGGTGGCGCGTCTGCCCCCGGAGGATCAACAGCAACTGATGGCAGCAGAAGCCTGCACAGGCCAGGCCGATGGCAAACCAGAGGTAGAGCATCAGGATGACGAACATTTCAGAACCGAGGACAGCTCCTGCAGGGGGGCGGGGAAATACGAGAATCGCTTTATACCCAAGCCACGTACAGAACCGCCATCCAGGCAGGCACTTTCTGCTAGGGAGGGAGGGAGATTCATGAGACTGAAGCTGTATTTTGTAGCAATCTCAATGCCGCAGTGAGAGAGAGCAAGGATGAACTAAAGTTGCCCTAACTTTTTCTCAGTGCTCATGGCTCCTGAGGCAGAAGGGAAGGACTGGGGGTGTAGAGAAGGGAAGGAAGCTTTGCCGGGCAGTGGCTAGACACTAACATTTCCACAGAGTCAGAAATGCCTGTCTCTGCCTTTTCTTTCTGATCTGGGATCAGGCAGGGTGAGGGAGTTTTATGAGGAGGGAAGAGGGTAGAGCTGAGGAACCTACACAGGGATCCAGTGCCTGGGCAGCCGTCTAGACTGCAACAATTTCTCCCTGGGGAGCTGGGAGCACCGGCTGGACCTCTGGAAAGTGACAGCATGATTGAGAATAGGGCCTTGTCATCAAGAAAAGTCACGAGCTGCAAGGGCAGCACAGAACATTGACTTAGAGAATAATTCAGTCATTAATGTGAACAAGAGGACAGTGTGGCCACCAGAACATTTGGCGAGAGCTGTACTGTCAGAGCTCGTTAAGGCTGAAAGAGGCCCCCAAGGTCATCAGCCCAGCCCCCTGCCTTGAGTAGGAAACCCTGTCCCCAAAACACCTCTAAACAAGCAGTCTCTATTATAAACATCCACTGAGTAAGAGATCCCACACTCTTCTTCAGAGGTAGGGTGGTCAGTCCACACTGAGTTTGAGTCTTCCAGCTCTGTGGTCTTACACAAGTTTCTTAACCTCTCTGAGTTGCAGGTTGCTCATCTGTAAAATGGGTATAATAATGATGATGGTTCCATAGGGTTGTATGATTCAGGGAAATTGTGTGCACAACATTCTGGTTCACATTTGTACAGCGCTCCTGCTGAGGGTCATTCAAAAATGAGACTATATCCAAAATAGGCTCAAGTTTAACTCCTAAGACCAACAAGCTTTCTCCTTTTCCTTCCCAAGGCTTGGAGACCTGGCTGGGCTGCAACTTTGGCAGCCATGACAGATACCCCTACCTTGACCTGCTAGCAGTTAGAGCAGTATACCCAGGAGAGAACTCAAAAGCCCTCATCAGCCCCTTTCTCCCTGCAGGGCAAGCCCACCACCACCTCCTCCAGTGAGACAAAGGTATCTGCTCCAGCAACCCCATCTTACAACCTATTCAACCTCTGCAAGTCTCAACTATATCCTTCCTCCTCCTGCTTCTCCCAGCCGTAGCCGGCCTCTTCTCTGGTCTCCCCAGGCCCCAATTTCCAGACTCCTGAGGTTTGGGCTTTTAAAACTTGTCCAGTCTGAGCACTGGTGAGTGCTGGTGGACTCAGCAACCAGGAGGATATGAACTTGGTTCAGGTTTGCATTAGCAACAGCTTCTTGCCCTCATTCCTAGGAGTTTTGATAGCAGATTGTCTTTGCAAAGTCCAGCTGCCCAGGGGGTGGAATAAGTCCAGCTGCCTAGGGGGTGGAAGGCTCACTCTAATTGGCATTTTGAGCAGGCCCTCCTCTGGCATGCAGGCAGCAGCAGGACAGGGCTTGCATTGGGCTGTACCATCCCTCTGACCCACTTCTCCTTGTCAGCACAGGTTAGCCGGCACAGCTATGTACAGGATAAAGTATCCTAGGGCCATTGTGCCCTTTGGGCTGTGGGAATGCTGACAGGCAAAGGTGGCCCTCGAGCTGGGATGTGAGAACATTGGAATTGTCAAGTGCGGGCCTGTCTTGCAATTCAGCCACAGGAATAAACCTGGGCTGATAGAAGATGTTTTCTGCAGGCATTTTTCTGGCATGAAATCAAGGCATACAGAAAAGACCTTATGGTCTTTTCCTGGCCCCTTGCAGCAGCTACAAAAGGCTATTCTGGGGACCTACTTTCTCTCAAAGTGTTTGAAGTTATCTAGCCTGGCTGTCTCAGCTCCTCTGAACTATTTAATAATAGTTATGCTTCTTTTAGGAAATCACAGTTTTTCTAAAGGACCTAAATGGCCACACCACCCAAATCTCCCCACCCTGCTTCCCACCAAGCATTTATAACCCTTTTGACAGATCATCACCTAGCATCTTTAATATATATCCAGAGACAAGATGCTCCCTCCCTCCCAAAGTAGCTCATTAGTTAAGAAGCAGCCCCAGAGAGGTGGTGTGATATAATGGGAGGAGTAGGATGTCTGGAGGCTAGCAGCCCTGAGTCCAACTCTCGGGTTGGAGTCATACTTGCTATGTGTTCTCAAAGCAGTTTAACTTTGCCAAGCCTTTGGTTCCTGAACCTTTAAAATGGATGTGTTCATACCTACCTCACAGGCTCGTCAAGAAGACTGGATAGAATGAGACCTGCACAGTGGGTAGCATATAATAGGTGCTCAACAAACATTAGTCCCTTTCCCTTCTACAGGACCTCCCAGTGGCGCCCACTGTGCCAGCATACTTACCCAAGTGCACAGGTCAGATGACATCATCCCCATTTCCCAGATGATAAACAGGCTCAGAGAAGTAACACACCAGCACTAGTTCCATGAAGCCAAAAGAAAGTTCCTAAAATCTAACTGGCCAGTTTCCTCCTCTTTGGCATCGGCTGAGGGTCTGTGAGCAGTGGCCACCAGAAGACCCCCCTACTTCTAGCTCGCTGCCCTACCTGGCACTCACACTCACAGCCCCGCCATGCTCTGCTGGCAGATCTGACTCAGGGGCAGCACCACCAGTTGGGGACAGCTCAATCTATTAAACAGCTTGTCCCTTCTTACTCCCTCCCGTCTACCCATTCTCCTGAGCAGATGAGAGAGGGTGTGCCTTCAACCATTTGGGTTGAAAATAGGGGGAGAAGAGATAGAAAGGGAGAAGCCAAAGAGGTTAAGGGTATGTGTCAGAAAGGAGAGAGAAGGGCTGGCACGGAGGAAAGATGAAATGGGAACATCGCAACTTAGAAGTCGTGGCCTCCTTTTCCTAGAGAGTATGGTGAAGAGGTAAAAGATAGTAGGACTCATCCTTCTGTTGGAACACACATCTGGGCGCCAAGGTAGGCACTGACTGGCTCTGTCCTCCTATCAGATCAAAGCAAAAAAATCCTCTTCCTTCTTTCCTGTCTCCCAAACCTACCACATATGGACAGGCCTCAAGCCCAGGCTTATCTCTAATCAAACCATTTCAAGATCCTCCCTTTGGAACTATCCATTTTTATCTGAAACTACGTGGAAAAGAAAGTATCATCAGGCTCTCTGGCTCCCCTCATTCCTCCACCTGCCTGTGCTCACACTCCACCTCCTAGCCCGCCCACCTACCCTCCCTCATCCTGGTTATTTTGGTCCCAGCAGCCTCCTATGCCAGTGCCAGGATCCAGAAGGCCTGAGAGCTCTGAGTTCTGGGCCCAGCCAAGCCACCAGTCCTCAAAGGCAACCCCCATTGCTGGGTTCTTCCTGGGCCTCTGTGTTCCCTCTGCCAAATGGCACAAAAGTCCTGTGCCTGCAAAGGACTAGGTTGCAGCCCCAACAAAGACTGAAGTGATGGCATCCGTCAGAATGGAGCATAGTGTTTGTGAATGTCTAGCCCAGGCACATCAAGGCCATTTTGGGTTCTCAAAGGAAGTAGCTGTGCTCTGTCTTTCTTTGTCCCTGAAAGGTCAGGGAGTGAGGAAACATGCTGTATTCCCAGGGCTGCTGTGGTTGTTTAAAGACGTGGGGGCAGGCCAGAGGCTGCAACTCAGTAATAGCAAGATCCTGGGCAAGCCATTTAATCCCATCTGAACCTCAGTTTCTTCATCTGAGAAATGGAGATAACAATATCACATATATACACACATGAGTTCATGCTCACAATTGTAACCAACTCAGAGTCAAAGGCCAGGGTAGGGATGGGTGTAAGGAAATGAGGTGGGGGGCAAATTTCAAGCTAGGTGAAGTAGTAAGAACAGCCACCAGGAGCTGGGGCTCTCTGGGCCAGGTATCAGGGTGCTTCCCTCGGGGCACACTATGTAAAGTACAGTATTCACTAGAATGCCCAACAGAGTGCCAGTATGAAGGCCCTCAAGCCGGCTCCTGCAGTTAGGAGAGCTTCCTGGAGGGTCAGATCCCACACTAGTCCTATGGCTCTGTAGTGTGAAAAGAAAATATCTTTTGGAAAAGAAACTCTCATCATGGAGCCATTAAACATGGCTGCATCTCCAATCAGGGCGCCATTGAAGAACAGCCTGGCAGGATTAAACAGAGTGAGTGGGAGGGCAGGGCTTAGCCTCCTGCTGGGGTTGGCCTGGCACTCTGACCAACCTTACTGTGGTTGGTTGGCAAGAGCTTTAGAAGGCAAGGTCCTTGGGGGTAAGTGTGAGCAGGACTGGGGTCCAGGCAGAGGAAAGTTATAGCACAGGTGTACCTTGCAGGTGGCATGGGGAGCACCCTGCCCTACCTGGCACTAAACGGCTGTGTTGCCTTCATTGCCACAATTCTATGAGAAATGGACAATGGCAAGCAAGGAGGGGGTGATGAATAAAGATGGGGTTGAGGAGGAAGTTTGCCAGATAAAATACAGCAGATCCAGTTATTTGAAATCCAGATAATAGTAAATATTTTTAGTATAAGTATGTCCCACACAATATTTAGGATATACTTACACTGAAAATTATGCTTGTTTATTTGAAATTATGATTTAAGTGGACATCTGTATTTTTATTTGCTAAATCTGGCAAACCTGGGGTTGGGATGGAGGGTCCCTTGTAGGGCCCAGCCTGCCTGCCAAGGCCCACTCACCGGAGAAGAACTGGCTGATGGAGGTGGGCAGGAGCGTGAGGAAGGCCAGGGGGTGGGCGAAGGAGATGGAGAGGACTGCAGAGATGTAGGCCACACCAGCCACCATGGAGTAGAGACAGGCAAGGGAGGTGTAGAGACAGAACAGGATGAAGTTGCGCATGTTCCTGCTGCCGATGCAGTTGCCCGTGAAGAAACAGTGATGGTCGTGCCTCAGGGCGACTCTGGCACACACTCGGCAGAAGTGGGTGCTAGGCGGGGGACACGAAGCCCTCCTGGCCGGGGTTCCCTGGCAGGTGTTCAGGTCGTCTGGGGAGTTCTGGATGACCAGGACATAATTGCCCAGGGCGTTGGTTGAGAGGAACAGGAAAAGTGCGCCGTGGAGCAACGCGGGGGAGAACAGCGGGGTAGCCTCGGGGTCCTCGCGCATGCTGGGCAGGAAAAGGAAGATCTGCAGCACGAAGGTCACCAGTGAGATGCACAGGAAGTAGGCGGGGGCCACCACGTTGAGCAGCCTCAGGGCCAGCATCCTCGATCACATTCCTGAAGGACCCAGGTGAGAAGGAGATTTATTGCGGCGTCTAGGGGGCGCCCTAGGGCGCTACTCCCGCGCTCTCAAGCCCCACGAAACCCTCGCTCCGAGACTCCTGCCCCTCGGATCGCCCCTCCTCCCTTTCTTAACACGGGACCAAGCAGGAGTGAGACCCTGAGGCCGCAACCATCCCCGAGTGCCTGCTGCCTCGGTTTTTGAGTGACCTTGGCTTCCTGGTCCTTCGCAGACAACCACCAGGAGGGCGAGGTCGGGACCTCCAGTGGAGGTGTGGGCTAGGGCTCTCTTCCTTATGGCAATGGAAACAGGCCCAGGCTTGGGAATTTCTCCTTCAGACCCCCTACAAGGAGAAATCGAAGGACTCGGGGTAGGGGGCAAAGAGAAATGACCTGCTGGAAGTCCTGATTCACCTCCCCTTTCCTCGCCGCCTGCCCCCTCACCATTTGGGGCAATATTCAGGGACCTCACCGGTAACCAATTCTCTTTGGAGGTATGTGTGCCTGTGGGTCCATGATATTTGTGTGTGGGTGTGTGTGGGGGTGTGTGTGTGGTGGGGGGGTGTTCCTCATGTGTGACTGTATGTGTTACTTGTATGCACATGGGTATCTGTGTGTGTGTGTGTGTGTGTGTCTGCGCATTCACACACGCTCTCAGGCATCCGGTAGGGTTGGCTGGAGGCGGAGTGGGGAAGCGCAGCCGGAATACCTGTGTCAGCCGGTCCTGGTCACCCCATCCCTCCTACGCTGGCTGCCCTGGCTATTTCTTTGCAAAGAGCGTTTTCATTTGAGGCGACGAAATTAAAATCTCCCCTTCGCGCCCTCCTCCTGCTCTCCTGGAGCGAGAAACCCAAACAACCTCTATGGCTTCGAAACCCTTTCGATGCCGGCTCGCTTGCCCTCGGCGCAGGAGTGGAAGAGCTTGGCTAGCCTTTCCGCGGATCGACCCTAGTCGCAGACCGCAGACCCCACTGCATCTCCACCCGCCCCCGCCCCCCACAGCCGTGGTTCCTGCCCAGCTTCGGAAGCCACCAGGAAATCGGGCACTCCCGGCGCCCGAGATAACTTTTCCAGGGGCTAAGGAGTCGGCAAGCCCGAGGCGCGAGAAAAGTTCTGGGAAGGCGGCTGCACCCTGGATGGGCACGAGGCGTCCATCAGGCTGTCCCGTCCCGATCCGCGGCTGATCACCTTGGAGACCCCTTTGCAGGTGCCGGTGGCCCCGGGGACCCACGGCCACCGTGGGGAGCTGGAGGCTCTCTCTCTGCCTTCCCGGCTCAGTGCAGGGCACGCACGTGGGGGTGGTCACTGGGGATTCGGCACCGCCCCGGGCCATGCACTCCCGGGGGGTGCGGTGGCGCTGCCCACCCCAGGGAGCATTCGGCCCCGGGCTCCCGCGAAGCAAGTGTCTTCCCCACGCCAGTCGCCAGGGGGGTGCAGGAGCAGCCTCCAGATGCTCCCTGGCGCCTGGCAGGCGAAGGACAGGAGATGGGGGAGTGAGTGAGGAGCGCTTGGCGGGCGGCTGCAGCCCGGGGCCCTGCGCGGGAGAAAGACCGCGGTGAACCTCCCCAGCCGCCGGCTGGCGCGGGGAGCTGTCCTTTCAGCACTGGCGGCGGCCTCGCCCACGGTGGAGGGCGGCACAGACCGAGCCCTGGAGAGGCAGGCAACGCGGGCGGCCGCCGGCTGCTCGGCCACCGCCTCCCGGACTCTTGGGAAGCCGCCCCCCGCGCCGCCGCCGCACCGCCGCAGAGGGGTGGGGAAATGAACTCACCGAGCTCTGGTCGCCGACAAGAGGAGCCCTGGACGCCGGGTCTCGTCCAGCCCGAGGCTGCAAAGTTGTGGGCTCGGCCCCACTGGCTCGCAGCCTCCTCACGCTTCGCTTCGAGGACTGGGCAGGTAGTGAGGATGTGGGGAGGAGGGAGCGGGCAGCCGCGGTCCTCCCACTTCGGCGCCAGCGAGTGGGGGCCAGGAGGCGGCGGGGATGGCAGCTGGGCACCCCTCAGCCCCGCTACCCCTCCCTCCCCTTATGGGGGCGGCGCTCCGGCCACCCGTCTTAGCATCGTGGACTTGGCACCCACCCCCCTTGTTCCTCTAAAGAGGGCTGGGGCGACCTGTGACTTCAGCCACGGTTCTAACTGGGATATCTGGATTCAGCCCTGATGTGAATGCTCTAGCCATCATCTGCTCCTTCGATCCCCTCTGTGGCTGACAGCTTTCCCTGCTCTATCTCAGACAGAGGGAAGCCTGGGGGTTTGAGAGCTCAGCTTGCCAGGGGCAACACCCATTAAGATCAGCATCATTGTGCACAGAGGGGATTGAGAGCCCCAACTCTGGAGCCTGTCTGCCTAGGTCTGAATATCCACCATTCAGTACTATGTGATATTCAGATTCCAGTTTCATCTCTGTAGAACAGAGATGTAAGGGTTATATGACAATATATATAAAGTCCTTAAATAAGGCCTGCCCTTGGTAAGCACTATTTGAGTATTCGTTCATAATTATTGACACTATTTATTGGGCCCTAACTAGTACTGGTCATTGTGCTAGGCCTTTAGCATAAAAGAGTTTCCTTAATCCTCACAGCAGAAGTTCCATGGTCCCCATTGTATGGATGAGGAGGTAGAGGCACATTGAAGCCAAGTCACATGCCCAAGGTCATACAGTAGGTCAGTGACAGAGCCTGATTTAACTAATGCACCTGCTCTCAGCCTCTGCACAACCCAGCATCCCCCTGAGACCCAGGGGATAGACAGCAGAAGGGTCTATCCATATACAGAGCTTGAACCAGGAGCTTCTGCCTGGAGCCCTGCCCCCATCTCTCTGTTCCTATTTCCTTTCTCTTACAGACTCCACTATGCTGAGGTAGGTACTGAGAGACGCCAAGAGGGTGGGACACTTGACTTGGCCAGTGTGTGTCAAATGGGGGTACCGGAGTAAGTAGAGAGAGCATTAGAAAGGCTGCAGGAATATTGCTGCCACTGCCACCTCGGTTTCCTGGGCTGTCGTAGCTCACCCACCTGCTCTATTCCATTCCTCCAAGTGAAGAAAACATAATAAATGTTTCTTGCTTTCTCAACTGGTTGTTAAAACAAGAGCAATCCCTTAAAATGAGGACCATATGCTTATCAGCTCAGCCTATATTTTTGTATCATCATATACTGTTTTCTCTTTATTTTATTAGTATACATTAAAATGAAAAAGGGGCCAGGAATCCTTTTCATGTTCTGATAAGGGTCTTACATCTCAGTAAAAGAACAACTTGCCAGGCATTAGCCTCTGAGAATCTGGTAGCCTTGAGTTCCAGCAGCCACAGGGCAGACACAGGGAAGCACATATGACCTTTTCCCCTTCAGAGCTGTTTTGTATCAAGAGCATAGCTGTTTGGACCCTTTCACAAGCTCTGCCTGCCTCTCACATTGGCTTGGGAGGGAGGGAGACTGAAGTGCTTAGTTTTAGCTATATTGATTGAAGGTTTCCATTCCCTAAATACCTTGAGAGTCGGGCAGTATTTCTAATTTTATTTTGCATATGGGTGTGTTGTGGGAAGGTGTGTGTCTGAATTTGTGTGTGTATGAGGGGAGGGAAAGAGAGAGAGAGAAGCTAAAGGAATGTGGGAAGATGTCAGTGGTGGAGGGGGGGGTAGTATTCAGCCAGGAAAGAGATGGAGATTCAGCTGTGGAAATGCAAATGGACAAGAGCAATTATTTATTTAGAAATATAGTTTCTAATGTAGTTTATAGTTTCTTTTTAGAAATATAGATTTTTTAAAAGAAATTGTTTCTTTTTCAACAGAAAAAGACATTAAATCTTCAGATGTAGAGCTAGTAGTTCCTCAGATACTCCCTTAAGGGAACTGAGTAAGAGGAAGTACAGCAAATGGCATTTTGTTTTTCTAAAATTGGTGCTTATCCCTGACAAAATCAGCAGGGAGTTCAATTTATAAATTTCACCCGGATTCTGATCCCATCAGAATTAAGCAGACAAGAACAAATACTTTATTGCCACTTTCAGCTGTGGGACCCTGAGCAAGTCACTTAACCTCTCTGGTCTCACTCATAAAATGGGATGAAGATGTTACCTTGAAGCAATGATAATCAAGTGGGATGATGTAATTAATATACGTGCCTCAGTCTCAGACGTTAGCTTCTTCCTCCTCCTGTCTCTCTTCTGGGCCCTCATCTTTTTCCATAAGAACCTCTGATCTTTCCAACTAGAATGAGAGCTCCTGGTCTATGTTGGAAATATTGTGGGGTCTTATACCACGATGATTAGGCCAGAAGTGACACTGAGTGGAAGTGTACCAACTCAGGCTAAACCATTGATACTGGTCTTTCTCTGAGAGGAAAAGTCAAGTTCCAAGGTCTTTGAAATGTCTGGTGAGGACACATTTGCATTGATCTTGCATCCTGCTGCCATTCACCCCAACTTACAGTCTCACACTTCATAAACAGCGTCAGAAAATAATTTATAAACCATGCTCTCCATTGCTCGTATCATATATTCTTATAGTTAAGCTTTGACGGTACCTGCAGGTGGTCCCAAGGGGACAGGAACGCAGGCTGGCATCTCATTGCCACCAAGCACTTTCCCAGAAAAGTGTGCCATAAATCTTGCTTGGATAAAATGAATTCCTTCCCAAATGACAATCATTCCATTTTGCCTTAAAATGTTCTGTACAAAAAGAGGAATTCTGTCCAGTAAGTGGCTTCTCTCTTGAGTGGGGAACCCACACACATGTCTGTCTGGCCCTACAACTTCCCAAGTGTTTGGGATGGAGAACATTCCAAAATACAAGGGGCCACACTTAAAGAAGTACTGGGGATTTTCCTCCATTCTCATATTCTTTATTCATATTGATCAGGGTGAAGATAGACTGGGGTCTCAAGGTTAACTGGTACCCTGAAATTGAGATTTTAATAGACATCCTCAGACAGGATGCTCTTTACTGCCATAGGAAGTCATTGCCAAATGCAACCACAAAGTGCTCCCCAAGTCTCAGAAGGCTTAATAAGACGCCATCCTTGCCTGCCTGGATTTGAAAAACATGTAAGTGTAAACTTCATCTTAGCCAATCAAATACATGAAAGTTGTATTATCACTGAATTTCTATTTGGAGATGACAATTTACCCGGCCAACTACATCTTCATTGTAACAACAATAACATTCCTTTGGTGTAATAAAGTACTTTGCAGGTTACAAGGTATATCCACAAAAATAAAATTTCATTCACTCTCAATAGCCCTGTAAGCTAGCTGGTGGCAAAGATTATTAAACCCATTTTTCTTATGAAGAAACTGAGATTCAGATACTTGCTGCATGTTAATCTGTAAGCCTTGCCTTCGTTCCACTGAAAATGTGACTAAACATGCAAAACTCTCATTGATACTTAACTTCTCTGGAACATGTCACTTTCATAAAGGAAGCAGGCATATACCATGCTCCCTCAGAATAAAAGACCTGCCTGGTCTCTGTGTAAGATGTTAATGTAAAATCACATAAAGTAAGCCTGCAGCCCATTGATCAAATGCTCTCAAGCACTCTGTTGCTTGCAGTGCTAGAGTGTGTATGTGACTGGGGGCAGTGAGGCTTATCATCCAAGCCCATATGGCAAGGTAGAAACAGCAGGTCTGAATGTCGTCACCCTCTGGGTGACAGGTAACCCCAGAGGTCTCCCTGACGACTGGTTGTGTGAGGGTGGACATCTTGGCTTGGCTTGGCAGAGCCTCCTTTGGAGTGTTCAGGCTGTAGAAAAACAAATGTGATCTTTTACCCATTCACCCTGGTTTCCCAGGACTGCTCAGGCAGTCCTGGTAGGGATGCCTTGCCTGTGGACCAGTGCACAGCTTAGCTGTGATGGTGGCAGTAAGATGAATTGGCCCTTTCATCTCAAAGCATGCAGAAGGCAGAGGGAGGGAGAAAGGAGGGTATGGGGAGGGAAAAGAGGAGGGCAGTAGAGGATAGAGGGGAGAAGAGGGAAAAGGAGAGAGGGATTGCATGCTCATCTGTCTGACACAACCTCAGTTTATGTCTTCATGATGGAGGGAGCTCTGCAGGCACAAGGGAGATCAGCTGTCTCCGCTGAGCCCTGCATTGCCAGGTGTCCAGGTTGGGAGGGAATGAGGCAAAGATTGACATCTCAATTACAGGAGCGGGGAGGTGAGACCAGGAGCATGAGGCCACTGCAGTGCCTTGGCTGTTTGTAGGACTCTTGGATACACTGCTATAGTCTCAGAGCCGCAGGCAGTCCAGACCTCACACCTCTGAACCCCTCCCCACCCCACGCGCCCATGTCCCCCACTGCTGTAGCAGAGATGGCCCAGGGCCCAGGGCCCAGGAGAGAGGCAGTACAGTGTGATGAAAAAAGCACAGCTTTCAATGTGAGGTTTCGGTGTTTGCTGACCTGGACTTAAATCCCTGTTTTCCTATTCACTTGCTGTGTGACCTTGAGCAACTGGATTCGAAAAACATGTAAGTGTAAACTTCATCTTAGCCAATCAAATACATGAAAGTTGTATTATCACTGAATTTCTATTTGGAGATGACAATTTACCTGGAGGTAAACTTCCTTAGCCTTTCTAAACCTCAAATTCCCTATCTGTCAAAAGGGGATTTGTATTTTGTCGTGAATTTTAAATGACAAAGATGCCAGCTCACTAGCACCTGCCCTTGCTACTGAAACAGTCCCCCAGCTAGGAGCTACCAAATAATCCTGCTTGCTGCATAGCACTTACTGCCTCTATGATGATCTCGTTTGTAGATTTATTTACTTGTTTATTGTCTCTTTCCATCTGATAGAATATAAACCCTCAAGGGCAGGGACTTACCTATCTGCTTTATTTCTGTAACCTAAACCCAGCACAGAGTCTGGCACACAGTGGGTGCTAAACAAACATAGAACAAATAAACAGTTGGTGGAACAAAGAGGTATGATAGAAGTAGTTGGGGTGTGGAAATCTATACTTTGACTGTGGTGGTAGTTATATGATAAAATGTTTATCCAAACTCACAGAACTGTACCCCTCAAAAGGGTGCACATTACTGTATGAAAATTATACCTCAGTATCTGACTTTAAAAAAATAGGATAGAGAGCAATGCATAAACAGAATTCAACTAAATAAAGATTCATATTTACTGACATCCATTACGTGCCCGGCTGGCTGGGGACCAGGTACCTTCACATTGGTTATTTCATTT